AAGCAACTGTGACCAACTGAGAGCACTGAGATTTGTGCGACTGAAGGCTACATAAGTGCTCCTGCAATTGAAAGCAACTGAAAATACCCAGTTGCTCTCAGTTGCCCACATCCTCTATATTTTAGCGATTCAAGGCAACTGAAAATGCTAATAAAGTTATGTCTACCAAAATAATTTGACATGGTTTATGTAAAATGTAATGGTGTTTGCAAGACTTGTGAAATATTATATTTCATGCAACAAATCATAAAAGCCTATTATAATGCCTATTGTAGTCATAATAGGAAGCTTATACAAATGTACAACCATTGACCATTGGCCATTTTGCGATTTTAGTAAACATTCTTTTCAGACATCATTTATAGGTCATTAGAACATGATCTCAGGGCTGCTGGAAATAAATCCATTAATATTGGCGTTATTAATGTGATTAGCAAAATTGAAGTTTCGCTTTAATCACTAGCAGGGAAACAGTTTTAATTGAAAATATTTAGCCATAACAATTAGTCTGTATTCTGAGGGAAGTCTGTACAACATGTTTTATTTTAAATGGTAGGTAAACAAAGGTAATTGATTTTTGGTACAAACTTTAAACAGTTATAATAATTAATAAATTTCGAAATGTAAAAGTATTTATAGCAATTCATAGCCAATTAAGTATGCATATTTTCTCTTGTTTTCCATTTTGATAACAACATTCATTGTTTTATAATAACTTATATATGCATATTATGGTTATATAGATGTAGGATTATTGCTTTTAGTTTTACATTTTGAAAAAGTATTTATATTTAATAATTTTAGTGAATTATAGTTTGCTTTGGCAATAAATATGCCAAGTTTATAGACCCACGCAATACAATTGATTGGCGACCGTTTTTGAGGGTTTCACGAAACATAATACAGGGAGATCCCTAATTATTTAAGGTAAACATACACAAATGTAATTTGAATTTTAACTTTGGAAAGTCCAAATATTTTGGTATGGGAAAGCGTGTTGATGAAGAAGAATGGAAATTAAGGAATTGTTAAATCTCAGAAACAGAAACTATCTTTGTATAATTATGTCACAGAAATTAATGAATGTGTTCAATACAAAATTTATGAAAATGTGGGACTATGGTACTGTGTATCGACCTCTATCTATGAAGTTGTGTCCCTTCCCCCTCCCCCCATTTCCTGGACTGCCACTGACAAAAGCATTTAATACTGTTTATATTATATCTTCAAAATCTATTAAGACCTCAAAAAATCCAAAAAATCTGGGCTCGATGGAGCTCCGCCCACTAAACCTCAAAAAGGTTCTGTCGCTTGGTAGCCCATAGTCATTTTCGTCCACCTTCCACAAATTTGCACCTACCCAATAAAAACCTGTGTACAGGCCTGATTTAGTATTAATGTCTTACACGTTGTTTAATATTTAGTAGGCCTGTATACCTGTATCAACATTTTTTAAAATCTGTTGATCTGAAATGTTTTCATAATATGCCAGTGCTTTCATCTCAGATAGCATAATAATTTGGTTCAGTATTTTAATTTGTTTGAACCATTAAGATATTGATTGGATCTATTACACTGAACAACATAAATTAATATAATATTTACCTTAAAATTCTCTGTTAAGTTTTAGGTGTGCATGAAGTGTCTGCAAAAATAGAAATGGGTTTGTGACCTTATAGGCTTGATATGAAGCAATGGGTAACATGCTTACTTGTGTCGCAGTCTTTTCCTGTCCAACCGGGATGACAAGGTTTCTTTGTGAGTGCAATCAAGCGTGACATGATGAAATCAGTATGCAGTGACTTAGAACTGCTGTAAAGTTACTGTAGTGTATTCATTGTTCTAGCTGATATCAATCCAAGTCAAACTTATATTCAGGTTGCAGTTAAAAAATAGGCTCCCAGTGGGAGCATGTGTCTACTGCCTTATACAGGAGTTTTTATTTTTGAATTTAATCTTACGTTCTTCAATATGCAGATGTGTTTGTCATTGTAGTGTATCTGAATTTTTTGTGAAAATTGTTTTTCATAACAATATTCTGTGTACTACTAGGCCCACTGTATTATTGCACTAAAAACACTAAAAAAGATTAACTCTTGGAATCACCGCGTTATGTCATTGATCTCGAAAGGTACTACCATATTCTAGAAGGCGTCCTTTAAATGATGGTCAAAGGCGTTTTTGGCGAACGCGTGCTGCGTCTCTGTAATGTATGTTCGAGTTTGAATGCAATTATGTTTGAATTCCAAACGCTATTTGATTTTCAGTAGAACGCCCCCACCTGGTGGTAGTAGTACCCATCATTCCTCCACTGGATTTACCCTTTTCTGCCATCTTTAATTGCTACATCATGACATAGTGTCTATGCCCCCCGATGGGGGCACTTGGACATAAAAACAATTCTATTTATGTTTACAAATGTGTAAAAAATGACAAACAAAAATCAATTATCAATCAACCAACAATTTAAACATTTGATTTGGTTAAATTTACATATGTATAAAGACTAAACAATTAAAATTATATAAAAGGCAGAATGAAAATGTGTATAAAGACCATTGATAATTAATGAAAACAATTAAAAGAATTAAGTAATATAAAAATAATATGAAAATCAAAATTTAAAAGTCATTCAAAATTGAGGGAACAAATAATAACAATAAAATAATAATTCAATAAATGGATCCTCATCCATGCAATTAAAAACCCTTTATTACTTACAGTGCACAGAACTGAAAAGATGTCAAGCATTTTTTACTAAATTGTCCCACTTACAATATCATTAGAAAACAACATTTAACAAATCTTGAAAATGACCTACTCTGTAACGATTATGATACAAGGACACTTTTTTCAACAACAAATGATTATATTAAAATTAAATTATTTAAATTATTCAGTCTTCTAATGTTTGTGATACCTCTATATTTGATAATTTCTGTAAAAATACATCATGAATGCTTGGGAGAAACGCTCACAACTAAAAAATTCACAACAATAGTATAAATGTATTGTTGCTTATCAAATTGTGTAATGTTAATGTTTTTTTTTCTTTTACACCAAAAATGGATTCATCGTAGTCAGTATTTCTTAAGTAGTCCTACTCTGGTATAATCTTTTTGTTGTAAGACGTTTTAATCTTTAGATTGTATATTTTTAGGTTAGTTATTTTAAGTATTTACATTACAGTAGACCTGTATTTCTGAGAATGAAATGTGAAGGTCTAGAAGTTTACAGAACTCTGTTTTGCTTGTTTTGATCCTAATGCACATTAAATTATTTTTTTATTCCAGAATCTGAAAATATCCAGATATATCAATAATTGTCTTTGAAAGAATTAGCAGGCTATGGCAGAATTTGAAAAAATAGTGCAACTGAATATGGAAAAGAATTCTGAAATTGAATTTGAAATAGGTTTGTAATTTATAACATTGTTCCTTATTAATATGGATTGAATGAGAACATAATACATTTTTCGTTTTATTTAATATTTATTTTATTTCAATTAAAAAAAATTAATAAATAAACCATTTTTTAAAATTTTGTTTTTTATTTTATTTTTTATTGAAGATCCCTACACAGACAGTATATTTCCAACTTTCCTCTTACATAGTAATTTGTCATCCAATTATCTGCTATTTTGCTGTTATGTAAATATTCACAGCATTCTTGTCATGAGCCATGTTCTATGGACGACTTTCTTTTCCGCCTAACCACCATTTGTAATGTCCTTATATAATCCTTTTTAAGCCAAAAAGTGCCTTTTGAATTTAATTTCCCATAAGAACTCTTCATCTATTTCCATAAGCGCCCCTTCAATTTCCACTCTGTTTCATAAGCGCCCGTTTAAATAAGCGCCCGGTTTAAATAGGCGCCCCTCAGAAAGTGCAAAAAATATTTTAAATGCCCTGGCGCTTATTTGCGCGAGTACGGATTCAATTTTAAATTTTAAATCAAGAAAACTATGCACTTTCTATATCTTTATATATATTTTAACATGGCCTCCCATTACAAAAAAAGTTCCTTCAATAACCAATACAGCACAGTAATCTTATCATTTACTTTTCTTATATAATATTGAGCGTTAGCAGATTGCTCTGATCTTTTATATATTTTAGACACTTGCAGTGATGTTTCCAACAATGAAGAAAGTAAAGACAGACCTAATGAAACATGCTTAATATCAGTAAAAACAGAATATTCTGTTATTGAAAATTGTCATCTAAATTTGTTTCCTGTTAATAATATCCATGAGGAGAAAAATATGAATGAATGCAATGAAGTTGAAAAACAATTTGAAATGTCTAGCAGTTCAGAGAAAAACATACAAATGTGTGAAGAGGTAAAATATAAATGTGAACATTGTGGAGATTATTTTAATTTAATTAATTTGAAGCACACATGGGGATTAAAACAGAAGATGCACCATTACAATTTGAACAATGTGGAATACAGCCATTACATGAATGTGAACATTGTGAAAAGAAATTTAAAGACAGTATTAGTTTAAAATCACACATGATGATACACAAGCGAGACGCACCATACAAGTGTGGAAATAAATTTAAAAATGGTATAACTTTGAAAACACGTATGAGGATACATAAAAGATCACATGAATGTGAACATTGTGGAAAAAATTTTAGTAGAAATGACACTTTAAAAACACATTTAAGAATACATACAGGACAAACACCATATGAATGTGAACTTTGTGGGAAGAAGTTTAATCATTTGGGTCATCTGAACAGACATTTAAAGATACATGCAGAAGAAACATCACATGAATGTGACCATTGTGGGAAAAAAATCAAACAAATGAGTGATTTTAAAGTACATTTGAGGACACATACAGGAGAAAGACCATATGAATGTGAACATTGTGGAAAGAAGTTTAGTAGAAATGACACTTTGAAAACACATTATGACAGGAGAGATGCCATACGAATGTGAACTTTGTGGGAAGAAATTTAGTCATTTGGGTCATATGAAAAGACATTTAAAGATACATACAGGAGATCAACCATATGAATGTGAACATTGTGGAAAGAGGTTTCGTGAATTGGGTCATTTGCAGAGACATTTAAAGATGCATAAAAGAGGAGCACCTTATGAATGTGAACATTGTGGAAAGAAATTCAGACTCAGTCATGATTTGAAAACACATTTGCAGATACACACAGTAGAAATGCCATACAAATGTGATCTTTGCAAAAGAAAATTTAGATACTTTAGCCATTTGACAGCACATTTAAGGTTACATACAGGAGAAACACTGTATGAATGTGATAAATGTGAAAAGAAATTCAAAGACAGTACCACTTTGAAATCACATGTAAAGACACATACAGGAGAAAGACCTTATGAATGTGAACATTGTGGAAAGAAGTTTAGTAGAAATGACACTTTGAAAATACATTTAAGGATACATACAGGAGAGATGCCATACGAATGTGAACTTTGTGGAAAGAAATTTAGTCATTTGGGTTATATGAAAAGACACTTTAAGATATATACAGGAGATCAACCATATGAATGTGATTATTGTGGAAAGAGGTTTCGTCAATTGAGTCATTTGCAGAGACATTTAAAGATGCATAAAAGAGAAACACCATATGAATTTGAACATTGTGGAGAGAAATTCAGACTCGGTCATGATTTCAAAACACATTTGAAGATACACACAGGAGAAATGCCATACAAATGTGATTATTGCGAAAGAAAATTTAGACACTTAAGCCGTTTGACAACACATTTAAGGGTACATACAGGAGAAAAACCATATGAATGTGATCAATGTGAAAAGAAATTCAAAGACAGTACCACTTTAAAATCACATGTAAGGACACATACAGGAGAAAGACCTTATGAATGTGAACATTGTGGAAAGAAGTTTAGTAGAAGTGACACTTTGAAAACACATTTAAGGATACATACAGAAGAAAGACCGTATGAATGTGAATATTGTGGAAAGAAATTTTATCAAAATAGCAATTTGAAAACTCATTTAAGGATACATACAGGAGAAAAACCTTTTGAATGTGATTATTGTGGAAAGAAATTTTATCAAAGTAGCAATTTGAATACTCACTTGAAGATACACAAACGAAAACAATCTTTATGAGTGTGAAAAGAAACTAAACACAGTATCAATTTGAAAACTCATTTGAGGATTCAGAAGAGGAATCACTTGAATGCGAACATTTTGAAACATTAGTGATTTGAGACTACAAACAGGAAATAATGATCATTATGAAAGGAAATTTAGAGAGATTCCATGTGTGGTAATTGTGAAACAAAATTTTAATCAAATTTGAACTTTGAAAAACATGTGTATGTTAATAACATACAGCACAGACACCGTGTGTAAGTGAACATTGTGGAAAGAAGTTCAATCTGTATAACACTTTAAAAAACATTTAAGGATACATATCAGAAGAAAGACAATTATAAATTCAATATTTTTGGAAAAAATTTTAGAAACAGTTTAGCACTTTTCTGTACATTTGAGAGTGTGCATACAGGAAGGAAGCCATACACAATGTTAAGAATTGTGTAGGTAAAATGATCATCTGAAAAGATATTTAATGATATCATATTTTTAACAATGTGGAAGAATTTGAAAAGAATTTTATGTATTAAATTGAAAGCACACTTGTTTACATTATATAACATACATAAATTGGAAAAAAAATAAATCTAATTAATTTTAGTGCAGTAGTACTCTACCTAACAATTTTAAATGACAGCTAAGAAAATATAAGGGATGATTTTGCATTGGTAAGAAGAATTTAAAGACGTATAATTTGATCTTTTCCTATCCTTGATAAAATCTTCTGAGAAATAGATAATTTTATTAAATTTATCATAGTATTTTGTTGCACAGTACTGTAGTGTAAAGTGAACTTGGTTTCAATTTGAAACTGGGTAGTTAAAACAGGTAAACAGGTACAGTACTTGTTTTAGTAAAGTTTAGTGTACAGGTAATTGTATCTGCAACTGAAGAAGAAAAAAATAGCTGATAGTAGTTGTTTTGGTGCTTGATGTTGGTCATTTACAGTACAGTATTTATTTAATTCACTCAATAAAACTGAGTTATCAATTGGAATATCTCTCAATTAATTTACCAGCTGATGGGAAGATCACACAATTTCCGAGAGAAAAGAAAATTTCACTGGATCTCCATTAGAGCTTAACACCTGGACCCACACAAAATCTTCACACAATTCCCCTCCTCCACCGCTAGTGCCACCATTATTATCAATTGGCATTAATTGGTTGATAATTTTATCTAATTTCAAATTTCATTTTACTGTATAGTGGAAATAAAAGCCAACACAACCACTAACATAATGGCAAGACAAACAATTACTGAAACCAAACTTATCTTAAAATTCACTTCAATGAATATTTTGTTAACATTGGCACTTCAATTTCTAATAATATAAATGTATTAAGTCCTTTAGTTCATTACCTGACCTAGTAATATTGAAGATGAAGTTACTAACTTAATTTCTCAAAAGACAAAAAGAGTCTTCCTGGGACTGACAGTTTTTCCAACAAAATTTTAAAACAAATGTCTTAACCATAAAACACACTTCATATGTCGGGAAAGCTCATTTCCCGCCATCTAGGAATCAAAATTTTCCCGGGAGAGAAACACAGGACCTCCCTTTCTTTTTGGGATTTATTGATTCATGTCAAAATACTACGTAGGCCTATGCAATTACTCAATTTGTTATGTATTGTTAGGTGTTAGGTTATACCTAATACATTTATTTTACTATAACACAATGATTAAATACTGTTATGTTAGTTTTACTATACTTTGAGTTTAGACTGTATTAGCCATATTGTAGAGTGCATGTACAAAGTTCGTTCTAAAGTACCCTCATA